TCTTGAAACTGGGTCTTAAAAATAAGCATGTATATGACAGATTAGTGATGGCTTGTCTGATTCATTAGTACATTTCCATTCATCAAACTCCCGCCAGAAAAATTTGGCATCACCACGAAAGTATGGCACTAAATCTGTTTTTAAAGCCTCTCATTTCAAGAAAATGAAACAATGATTCCAAACATTATGCACCATTTTGCTGAAATGAATATATCATCTTGCATGTTTTCATTTGTTCAAAACATTTTGATCATAAAAGTAATGCATATTTCCTATTGACAATTCAGGGAATAGGTTTAAAAAATTGCAAATGAACAGGAATCCAGCTTTCAGGGAAAACAAATTATATTTAGGTACTTTCTTTTGTTTTTGATTAATAGATGTCTGTTTTGGGGTTGTTTTGTATAAAGCTAGGTCTCACAGACATCATTTCCTAGCCTTGCTTTTTTCACTTAACGTTTTCCTCCAGGCAATTCCCACGTCCTGTTTTTTCTTTTATTATGGTTCCTCCCCCTACTCCTCCCAGTTCCTTCCCACCTCCCCTACCATCTGGAGTCACTCTATGTCTCTCTTTCATTAGAAACAAACAGGCTTCTAAGGGATAATAATAAAAAAAAATAAGATAGAACAAAAACTAACATATTGGAATAGGACAAAACAAACAGAAGGAAAAGACCCGAGAAAAGGCTCAAGAGACAGATATAAGATGCAGATAACCATTCGTTCACTCGCTCAGGAATCCCGAAAAACACTAAACTGGGAGTCATAATATATATGCAAAGGACCTGTAGGGTAAAAAGAGAGAAAACATATAAACAAAATTAAAAATAAAACATAAGATTAAAAAAAAAATCTTGGCACAACGTTGTAAGACAAGGAACCTCCAAAGATGCTACTGAGTTCATTTTCTGTTGGCCATTAACTGCTGGGCATGCAGTCTGCCCTTAAGAGTAGTTTGTTTCTCCAGTGAGACTCACTTGGAAAAAACTAAATTTTCATTTGCAAGTGGTTATCAATTGGAAATAGCTACCAGTTAGGGATGCAAGTGTCCATTTCTCCTTTCAGCTCTAGGACCCCATCTGATGCAGACCTGTACAGGCACTGTGCATCCTGCTTCAGTCTCCGTGAGTTCATTTGGGCATAGATCTTGTTGATTTTAGAGGGTGTCTTCCATCCCCTCTAGTTCTTAGATTCTTTCTGCCTCCTCTTCTGAGTGAAAGCGTTGCAGCTTGGATGGAAAGGCATCCAGGCAGTTGGGAGCTAAGGAACACCACAAAGTCACTGTAAGCATAGCGGCTTCAGCCCTGCTCCAGGGAAAGGTTTCCTCAATGCAAGTGTAACAACTCTACTCTGGCAGAGGAGGGTTTCCCCAGGGAAGTCGTTAGAGCTCTGCTCCAGAGAAGTGTCACAGCTCTGCTCAGGTCCCCCAGGTGTAACGACTCAACTCTGTCTGCTGGGGGAAAGTTTCTCCAGTGAAAGAGTTACAGTTCCGCTCTGCTCAGCTCCTCTCCTGCTTGGGCAAAAGTTGTTACAATTGAGCTCTTCTCCAGGGAAAATGCCACACCACACAACAAACCTCATTTAAGAGATTTATTGGGAAGAAAGAATCCAGAGGGGTGACTGCCTCTGGGGTGAGAAGCAGCAGCAAATGGAACAAGGAGCTTATATAGGGTTTTGCACCCCCACCCCCCGACTCCAACCTTTCCAGGGTGCCTTGGGATTGGTGGATTTTTGTAGCCTGATTCTGGGGCAAACTCAGAGATTGGTGGAATTTTGTGCTCAGGGATTGGTGGGATTCTGCAGCCTGATTCTGGGATTTCAAGTCCTGGTCCTGGGGTCAAGTCAGTGTCAGGGTGTTTTTACTTGGCCCTGGTATCAGATCTAGTCAGGAGAAGGGTGTTTTTTCCTTGGTCCTTTTCATCCTACACTGAAGGGTTCCCTGGGCCTTGAGGGGAGGGTTGAGTGTTCCCAGGTCTCTCACACTCTGCATATTGTCTGGCTATGGGTCTCTGTATTTGTTCCCATCTATGACAGGAAGCTTCTCTGATGATGGTTGAACAAGGCATTGATCTATGAGTATAGCAGAATGTCATTTGGAATCCTTTTATTACTACATTCTTTTAGTAGAACAGTAGTATTTGGTTTTACCATACATCCCTGGGCTATCTAGTTCTTGGTTACCCAAGCGGTGTCCGGTATGAGTTCCATCTTGTGGAGTGGGCCTGAAGTTAAATCGGATATTTGTTGGTGATCCCCACAAGCTTTGTGCCACCATTGCCCTAGCATATTCTGCAGGCAGGACACCATGTGGATCAAAGGGTTTGTGACAGAGCTGGTGTTTATGTTTCTCCTTTGATAGGAGGCAGAGTACCTTCCTGTGCCAAAGACTCTAGTCCATAGGGATGAAGGCTCTATACAGGCACCAGCTGGACTTCTCCATGTTCAATGAGTTGTGAGGTGCTTGTCATCAGTTTGTGCAGAGCACCCTACAGTTTTGGCAACAACCTGGGTGGTTTGGTGATTGTCATGGAAACCTTTGGTCAGCAACGCAATTAGACGTAACCCAGTCCTGGTACTAGAAGCTTCATTTGGTAACAAGAGATGTCCAGTCGGAGCTCTGTCTCCCCACTGCTTGACAATTTCACTTAGATCACCTTCATATACGTGTGTGTGTGTGTGTGTGTGTGTGTGTGTGTGTGTGTGTGTGTGTTGTGTTAGGAAGCTTCTACTGTATTAGGTTTCCATACTACCCCTCCAACAGCCCTTAATTTAGGCTGTCTCTCCCCGTATTCCCTCTCTTGTCCCCCTCTACATCCCCCCCCTTGCCCCTCCTGCTCCAGCTCCTCCACTCCACCATCCATCCGTCACTATCTATGTCAGAAACTGGGAGATCTTGACACATCCGCCATCTTTGACATTCATGCAACCTTGGTAAGCTTCCTTCTCAATGCATTTCTAGTCTACGTACTCCATACCCTTACCTCTCACCCACTCCCGTCTAGGTGGCTGTCACCTCTTGCCTGCACTGTTGCAATAACTAATTCTTCTTTGTCCCCCAGCTCTATTCTCCTTCTAATCCATTATTCATGCAGGTGTCAGAAGACTTTCTTAAAATAGAAATTTCATCATGCCATACCCCCTCTTCAAAACCTGGGGTGACACTTGGGACACATCTCTAACCTGGGCTAAAAGGCCCATGGGGTCTACCCAGTGTTGACTTCATCTCTAGTTATTTTCAAAACTCCATCTGCAGTCGTGATGGGCACACACTCAGCTTTAATCTCCTCTGACACTCCTGTGTTTCTCCCTCAGTAGGGAGCACACGGCGGACACATATCCTTAGACAGTCCCTCTTCAAGGTGTGCTCACTCTCAGCTGGGTTTTTCCTCGCTATAGTTTTAATCTCAAGCGTTCCATAGAGTGGGACTCTGGTGAAGTGTTGGGACCTTTGAGAGGCGGGGTGTTGTGGAAGGAGGTCCTTGGATCACTGGGCAAAGGGAATCATGAGACCCCAGGAATTTTTTTTCCTTTGGCTCCTTTGTTTCCTGGATACCAGCGAGCAGTCTGGCTGCTATGCATTGCACTGTGTTTGTGCTCCAGTGCCTCAGGCTCAAAGGAAAAGGGAAACTGAAGGCTGGAACCTCCGGATCTACAAGCTCAAATAACCCTTCTCTACAGAAAAACTGTTTGTCCCAAGTGTTTTGTTCAAGTGTCAGAAGTAACTACCACAGACAATACCATCACGGCATTAGGTTGCCTGACCATGTGGAAACGGTGTGGGAGTTGGTTTATGAGAGGCATCTTGAAAAATTTGGGGAAATCGGCTAGAAAAACGAAATTGGGTGGAGATCTGAAGCCCAGACTATTGATAGGAATGTGACAGTAGAGGCCACATCAATGAGAACTCAGCTGGAAAAGGGGAATCTTCTAGACTAAAGGTGTTCCTTGTGAAGGATAAGGATGCACTCTGTCCAGACCCTGGCGTATTATTGGAGGTCAAGTTTAAGTGTAATGGAATAGTTTGTCCTATTTCAAAGCAGACTGGAGCCAGGCCACATCATGAACACTACTGCTTACTTGGAGCTCATTTATAGTGAGAATCGGTGACGAGAGAGAACAGAAGGGGAGAATTAGCAGAACCTGACGTTTTTCAAAGGTGTACCTGTGAAGGTGTGGCTGTGGAGGGTGGGAGGGCACAGTTGCTAATGCTGCTAAAAGGAAAAGTACTTCCCACCGGGATCTTAGTGGACAGGCCTGGAGTCCACTTCAGGAATCCACATGACCACATCACCCATCACAGGCTCAAGGTGTGGAAATGCCATCTTTTCCATAGGCTTTCTAAGTGGGTACGTGACTCTAATCCTGGCACTCAGGAGGCTGAGATAGGACGATAGTGAGTTCAAGGTCATCCCAAACTACTCAGTAAGGTCCTGTCTCAAAATAAACACGCCCATCTTCCCACCTTGCTCCTCTATTCTGTAAGCTCCTTCAAGACAGACCCTTAACTGTCCTGCCTGTTAATGAACAGTCAGCTTCAGCAGTGTCCCTGGGAGAATAGGTACTCGGCGAACCTCTGATGAATGAATGAGTGAATGTTCTACCTAATACCAAACTCCCTCCAACCCTGTGAAATGGCATACTTAATATATTTTTAAAAGAAACAAGGCCATATTTTTGCTAGAGCACTCTAGTTGATATTGAGTATTTATTTTTATGCTTATAACCATAGACCTTTCTATGGAAGAAAGTAAATCATATTTTAAGTGGGTGCCTAGATCAGCTCCATTTTATCTGCATTATCAAAATTGCTGAGATTCCCGGAAAACTCCTGGGGAGGGTGAGCTCTTTGTCTGCACAGAGTGTGGTGTGTCTGTGGTTCTGAATGACAGAGACCTATAACATATCCATTAAAGAAAAGCCTAAGTGCTTTGTTAGCAGTAGCTGCTGAAAAGGCTAAAACCCAATACGTGTAAAACGGTGCCGTAAATCAAACCCACACCTTTATTACAGTTTTAAAAGAGAAGTGTCAACCTATCTGGAGAGCCATTATCTAGACTCCCCTTCGGTAAATTGTCTAATCCTGCGGGCCCTTCGGTTTAATGGGAGGGAAATGTTTGCCGAGAACAGAAAAGTTCATGCCCAGCTGTCCTCTACTGGACTCCCACGCAATCTGAACCGCTTTCTTCAGTGCCACACCTCATCGCTAATTATCTCAGCCTTCAAACTTACGTTTTCACCTGATTCAGTTCAGTCCTTACTTTCGTATTTGTGGATGTACTTTCTCTCTCTCCCTCTCCAGTCTCGGCGTCCTGCAAACAGAAGCCCGTGTCTTTTCCTACGTTTACGTCCTGGGCTGAGTAGTTTCATGTCAAGTCAACACAAGCTCAAGTCCTCTGAGAGGCGGGAACATCAACTACGAGAATGCTTCCCTGAGACTGGGCTCTAGGCAAGTCTGTAGGGTATTTTGAAATTAGTGATTGATGGCAGAAGGGCCCAGCCCATGGTGGGTGGAGCCATCCCTGGGCTGGTGGTCCTGGGTTCTATAAGAAAGCAGGCTGAGTAAGCCATGAGGAACAAGCCAGTAAGCAGCACTCCTCTATGGCCTCTGCATCAGCTCCTGCCTCCAGGTTCCTGCCCTGTGTGAGTTCCTGTCCTGACTTCCTTCTGTGATGAATGCAATGTGGAAGTGTGAGCCAAATCAACCCTTTCCTCCCCAGGTTGCTTTTGGTCATGGTGTTTCGTCACAGCAATAGTCACCCTAACTAAGACACATCCTTCTGTAACAATAAAGCTTCCAGTTTCGGGGTGAGCATTTCCTTCCCAGCCTGCCTGTCTAATGTGTATCAGAAGAGGGAATCTGGTCATAAGGACACAGGTTAAGGTTTCATCCTGAAATCTTTCTCCCTGATTCTAACAACAGTGGGAAGGAAATGTGACAATCCACACAGCTGGCTTTTAAAGCTTCTGCTAGTGTACAATGCATTTCACTGCACCCCTGTCTTTGGATAATGCAAGTCACATGACTATACTTCAACAGAGAAGGGCAAATGCAAGCCTAGTGTATACTTACATTCAAAGAGGAACCAGGAACACAGGTACACTGCATAGACGGTTCCCATTCAGTTCTCTGCTTGACTCTGGGATCCAAAACAGATGATTATCAGCCTCTTTCAAAAACCCATGTATTGGCTGGGCGGTAGTGGTACATGACTTTAATCCCTGCACTCGGGAGGCAGAGCCAGGTGGATCTCTGTGAGTTCCAGGCCAGCCTGGTCTACAAAGTGAGTTCCAGGACAGACACCAAAACTACACAGAGAAACCCCGTCTCAAAAAACAAAATAAACCCATGTGTTGAAGTCTTGGTCACCAGGGTAACATTTTTGGGATAAAACAGGCTCTTCTAAAAGGCACTTGGATTATTGACAGCATACCCCAGGGATGTTCTTCTGGATCTGCAGCTGTTTTACGGAAGTTGTGGTTGAAAATGAAGTATTACTACAATGTATTTGTACTTCCAAATTTCAGGTTCTCTTCCAAAATCTGTAAAGAAAGGCCATTGAAATTATTTTCAAGAAAGTACACAGGTACTTTATTTAAAATATAAAGGTATAAAAGTACCTGATTTTGTGCAGAAGCAGTGATCACTGGCTAATCTTCTGGTTTCCAATCCTGACCCGGTCAACAGTTCTGCCAATTACTTGAATGACTACAGATGTTGACATGTTGAAAACATTTGCAGACTACATGAACCTGGAACAGAGCTGCTGGAGTGAATAATTTAGGTGATGGAATTATGATCCAAAGCTGGAGTCATGGGTTGGAATAATGGGTTCACTTTAAATGATCAATGTGTGGTATTTGGATCTAAAGGCCAGTTGCACAATCTTGGGAGAGTAGAACTTCCAATAACAGCATGTGTAAAAATTCTCCATGCCTCTCTGTTGACATGAATTATTATTAGCCAACCGTGGGAGGTAGCAGCCAAGTGAGCTAAAGAAATGTCAGTCTGTCCACAGGAGAACCTGCTATGGAGCATGGCATGGAGCTCGTGGACTTTGTCCAGCAGTGCGCAGAGGTATGAGCTCAACTTGTGTGTTACTTGGGGGATCTAGTCAGATGAGCCTGCCCAGAGGGCTTAATGAGGGTGTTAATAGGAAGAACATTTGAGGAGCAGGTGAAGGGGTGGGTCAACTTAACTCAGAGGAGAGAGGAGAGACTGGGGAAGTATGAAGTGGACTGTGAGTCTCTGAATACCCAGAGCTATGGGGTAGAAGAGACAATGAAATGAACTACTGTTGACGAAGACAGAGTAGGAAAAGGATATGGGGACGCTGACTTTAACTCACAGTGGAGATTAGAACCTGGTGAAAGCTAAGTCTCTTGTAGGGTGTGTCTAAAGGGAATTTGTGGCTACGAAAAGTAGACTTCATAATGCTCCCAGTTTAACCAAGATTCAGGAAATTTTCTAAGACTTGAGATTTTAAAGTAATCAAGCCAGAACAACCCTAGGCAGAGCTGTATAAACCGATCCAAAACTTACTTTAATTAGCCTACTCTCTGAGAGCTGGCTTCTAAAGAGAAAGACATTGTTTCTCCAGAGAAGATGCAGGCAAAGATATAATCCATAGACAGTGTTTTGGGTTCCAATTTGGACTAATTTAATCACACAGGACTTTTTAATGCTCCTTAAGTACTTGCTCCACATCTGTGTCGGAGCTAGTGGGTCACTGCTGGGAGCGTCTTCCTCCAGCTGTGTCGGGCAATCCGGTGACCATTTCCCTGCAAGTGCAAAAAGTCATCTGTTCACGTGAGTGAGTGTTTTAAAAACAAGAAGCTATACTTCTCTTAAGAAATCACGATGGGTGGTTTCTTGATTGCTCCAATGGCTGTTCTAAAGAGGAGGGGAGCCTGAGTGCTGTCAGTCAGATGGCTTTGTCATAGTGAAGTTTCATGTGGATTAGGCACAAAGAACTGTGTGTGCTAGACTTCTTGTAGAAACCTGGTTGGTTTCTTTTAATCACCCATTGTATTTGTAATTCTGGAATGCACTTACTAAATCAAACTGCAGCCTTGCAGATCTGCTCATTCTTTGAGGCTCCGGGTTTGTGTGTTTAGAACGAGGTCTTCACAGAAAGGCTTTGTCCCGAGTTCTTCCTGGTGCTATGCCACCTTTCCATTCTAACTGTTCCACCTCAGGGGAACCAGGGGCTGCTCCCCGGAGTTTGCCAACTTCCTGAAGCCTTTCCCATGACACATTTGATAAAGGCATGTGAATAGAGGCCTTTGAGAGAAAAGAGTAACGGGTTGCGTAATCCAGCTTTCCATCACTTAAAAAAAAAATAGAAGCAAAAGCTGGTGGGATGGTACAGTGGGTAAGGGTGCTCACCTACAGACCTGATTCCCGGAACCTGAAATAGCAGAAGGGGAGAACAGACTCCTGTTAGCTGTCCTCTGGTTGCCATGATGTTTACAGAGAGAGAGAGAGAGAGAGAGAGAGAGAGAGAGAGAGAGAGAGAGAGAGAGAGAGAGCACAAAATGGATATTTAAAAAAATCTGCAAGATACCCAATTTGTAGCCATGAAAGACTTATTCAGGGTCGTGGTTTCAGAGCTTTCAAGCCACAGGGGAATAGGATGCACCCCTCAAGAAGACATACTTACTACTAGTCCCACCGCCTCCCCAGCCTGGATCTGGAGCGTGAGACTGGGCACGGGGACCCTGGTTACCCTGCACTGCTGTTCGAATTGATTTGCAAAGGAAGTCAGAAATGAGAGATGTTAGTGCAAACTGAACTTTCCATCCAAAAATCCCTCTGAAACTTGTTATCGACCCAATGGTAAATATTGGAAATTCATTGTTCAAGATCAGAAGGGCTCACCAAAGACAAATAGCATGAATTTCCAACAGTGATAATAATCCTTATTTTATCTTGCAAGATTTCAATCACATTTAAACTCTCATGGGAGCAATTTGCCTTTTTCTGGGTTTGCAGCTGAAGTTGTCAAAGGGATAAAGGTGGAACCCTTCTCCTCAAGCGATTGCTTACTTTTTCTCTCAGCATTTAGTTTTTCCATCATTCGTAATGAAGGAATATGAATTAATCTCACCATTTCTCACGGCTGGCATGAAGATGACTCGGTTACAGAATGGAAATCTAGGGGCTGGAGAGGTGGCTCAGCGGTTAAGAGCACTGGCTGCTCTCCCAGAGGAGCCAGGTTCAACTCCCAGCACCCACATGGCAGCTTGCCACTGTCTGTAACTCCAGTTCCAGGGCTTCTGACACCTTCACAGAGATACACATGCAGGCAAAACACAAATGATCATAAAATAAAAAAAAAATAATAAAAAAGAATGGAAATCTCTCCTCCGGGAGAAGCTGCAAACCAGAATTGAGAACGATTTGGTTTGGGTGGTGAAAGAACATGGGGAGACTTGAGACTTAGCATGTGAAGCTAAGTGAATGCCAGGAACGGAAGAGAGTAACGGCAGCCTGGGAGGCTGAAAAGACTGTGAGGGCTGTGGCAGACGTGACACAGACATACTTTATTCGCTCCGCGATAAGGTTGCTGCACAGAAGAAACAGAAACAGACCAGGCGCACAGACACATGCCAGAGCACCCGAGCTGACCACAAGCAGGCATGGATACTCACGTAGACTGTCACATAAACCACAGGTGGGCAGCTCACAGGCCAGCCACAGACACATACAGGCAGGCTGACAAGGGCAAAGTGAAGGTGAAGGCTTTTGCTCACAAGGCCATAGTATGTACTGTCCATACAGAAGCGGCATTCCTACAGAAACAGTTATATAACAGATTACATCACTGGTTCCTTTCCGGTTCAGGGGCAGCTAATGTCAGCCATTCTGTGCTGACTAGTAACTGTCATGCTGCCCAACCCGGAAAGTCCTCTTCACACATACTCAGGCATCACTGAGTTTGGGTACCCTCACGCTGCTGTCCGGTGACTTTCCAGCTCCGCTGGGCTCTCCTCTAAGCTGGCTTGTTGGTGTGATGCTCACTGCACATGGCCTACGCGTCACCCCTCCAGTCACCTGTGGTCCACCCTGTGCCTCTGTTTCCCCATCACATTATGAGCCCTGCAACCAGTTGTTATATTCAAGCTGGTGTCAAAGAAAAATTATCCATGGGCAGCCAAACTCATCTTCCTTTATTCCATTTAATTCAAAAGGCTTTATGAAATAATAACATGTATAATTTATATTTTGAAAGAAACAGCTATCAGATTTCTGTTTGGTTTGCAACATTTCCCCTCATAGCATCCTTAAATTGACTGCAATAAGCTGCTAATACCATCACATCTTTTTGTTTGTCTTCCCGACGTAATCCCTGGTCACTCAGAGCAAAGGCACACTGCTTTTGACTTTTCATTCAGCCCACAGTCACTGCCAATTCTGCCTTCTCTTGGACCCTAAGACTGAATGTAGGCAAGTAGTCCCAGTATCTGGGGCAATCAATACAACCCTACTGTTCCTCCTCCTCTTCCTCCTGTTTCTCCTGCTCTTCCTCTCTTTCCTCTTCTTAGAGAATGCACAAAGCTGGGATCTCATAGCATTATATCCAAAGTTTGATAAACTCTGCCCTGGTTCAGTCTCTCTCTCTCTCTCTCTCTCTCTCTCTCTCTCTCTCTCTCTCTCTCTCTCTCTCTCTCTCTCTGTGTGTGTGTGTGTGTGTGTGTGTGTGTGTGTGTACACATGTAAAACATAACAGAAGAGGCAGCATTGAGAAGAGACTAATGTTTTGGTAAAGTTATATGGCTGGTGAGGAACTAGTATGATTGATTCTTTAACAAACTCAGACCACTGTGAGGTGCTAATCTCTCTTTTTTAATGCTAGTATTTTACTAATCCAAAAGCATTTTACAAGAAAATATAAGTAACCCTACCAAAACATTAAAGACCCAACAAAGAAAGAGGATTACAAACCAATTTTCCTTATGAATATATATAAAACTTTTTAAAAAAAAATGCTTGCAAACCAAATCCAAAACACATCAAAAAGATCATCTACCACGATCAAGAAGGCTTCATCCCAGAGATGCAGGGATGGTTCAACGTATGTAAATTGATAAATGTAAAACAAAACCACATGATCATTTCATTAGATGCAGAAAAAGCCTTTGACAAAATCAAACACCTCTCCAAGATAAAAGTCCTGGAGAGATAAAGAATACAAGGGACGTACTTCTGCATAATAAAGGTGGTTTACAGCAAGCCCATAGCCAACATCAACTGAAATGGAGAGAAACTCAAAGCAATTCCACTAAAATCCAAGACAAGGTTGCTCCATACCTATTCAATATAGTACTTGGAGTGTTAGCTAGAGCAATAAGACAACTTATATAAGGGGATCAAGCAGATACAAATTGGAAAGGTAGAAGTCAAAGTATCTTTATTTACAGAATATGATAGTATACGTAAGTGACCCTAAAATTCCACTGGGAAACTCCTACAGATGATAAACACTTTCAGCAAAGTAGCTGGACACAAAATTAACTTATAGAAATCAATAGCCTTCCCATATACAAATGGCAAACAGACTGGGAAAGAAATCAGAGAAATAACACCTTTCACAATAGCCTCAAATAATATATAATCTCTTGGGGTTACTCTAACCAAGCAAGTGAAAGACTTGTATGATAAAAGCTTTAAGACACTAAAGAAAGAAAATGAAGATATCAGAAGATGGAAGGATCTATTGTGCTCATGGATCGGTAGGATCAATATAGTAAAAATGGCCATCCTACCAAAAGTAATCTACAGATTCAAAGAAATCCCCATCAAAATTCCAATCCCCACAAATCTTGAAACACACACACACACAAAACCCAGGGTAGCTAAAACTATCCTGAATGATAAAAGAACTGCTGGAGATGATCGCCATCCCGGGCCTCAAATTGTGTTACAGAGATATAGCAATAAAAACAGCAGCAACAGCTCCACCCTATGCCTCGCAGCTGGGGCGGGCAAGACTCAAGCAAACCCAGCTCGGGGTTTCTAGAGACAGGAGTTCAGCAACAGCTCAGCACCAACCAAGGGCTGTGCTGCACTGGACCATGCTGACTTGAGTGGCCGGTGCTGTCAGCCGGGGCCATGGTGTCGGCTAGGATGGGGCTGCAGCATGGCTCTCCCACAGCCATTTCTGCATTGGTGTCCATGGCTCCTAATACCATCAAGGGCAATGCTGAGGCCAGGAGTCAAGGCCACCACCTGGGGACATGTTGGCATCCGAGGGACACACTGCCAAATCTGGTGGCCTGCACTGCTACCTGGAGCCATGGACTGCTTCCTAGAACCATGTCTGGGTCCATGGTCCTACCACAGCCAGGGGCTGTATTGATGTCCGCGGCCCATGTTGCTACCAAAGGCCACAGGGATGCCGGAGATCTAGGCCACAACCTATGACCACGGGAGTGTCTGAGGACTGTGCTGCTACCAGGGCCACAATGATCTGAATGGCCTATGATGTCACCCAGGGCCATGGTGTCCTCTGGGCCAAGGCTGCTACTGAGGGCCATGTCTAGCTGGATCCATGGTCCTTCTGCAGCCAGAGTCTGAGTTGGTGCTTGTGGCTCCTGATGTCCAGGGTCTGGTCAGTCACCGGAAACCAAGTGTCAAAGGGTCATGTCACTTCATGGGCTATACTGATATGGGGACCCTGTGTTGCCACTTGGGGCCATGGAGACATCTGGGCCTGGGATGTTGCTTAGGGCCATGTCTGGGTCTGGGGCCCTGAAGTGGCCTGGGTCTGAGATGATGTCTAAGGCTCCTTTTATCACCGAGGGCTGCCCAGGATCTAGTCAACCACCTGAGACCATGTTGGTGTCTGAGGGCCATGCAGCCACCAGGACCACACTGATCTTGGTGGCCTCTGCTGCCACTGGGGCCATGGAGACATCCAGGCCTGAGCTGCCACTGATGGCCATGTCTAGGTCCATAGTCCTGCTGCAGCTGGGGTCTGTGCGAGTGTCCATGGCCTGGGTCGCCACAAGGGATCATAGGAACCACTGTGTTGAAATCTGAGGGCTGTACTGAGCTGGCCACACCCCTCACTGGCACTGGGATGACTGGCCCTGACCCTCACAGGATACTGCAATAGGAGAGCTACCCTCCACCCCTTCACTGGGGAAATATGGCCCACGCTGCACCATAGGCTTGCACCTCGCCTGGGCAGCACACTAGAGATGACCCTGTTGTCGGGGACCTGATGAGCCGACCCTGAAGGCATGAGAGTAGGAGAGCGGATTCCTCACTCTTATGCCCTCTACAGCATTTGGGGGAGAGCGACCTGCACTTTGCCTGGGCAAAACAGTGGAGCTGGTCCTGGTGGTGTGAGTGTGAGTGAGCCTACCCGAGGGCCTGAGAGCAGGTGAACAGGCTGCATTGGATGGGCTGGCAGAGGCAGTGTTGGAAAGTGTGCGGGGGTGGGGTGCTTCCTCCTGGT